CCTGCTAGCCCCACTAACACCACTTCCTGCAGCAACCTTAGTTTGATGATCTGCAGCATGCACGCTGTCAGCTGGGCTACGGGTTAACTAATGAAGGGAGCAGGTAGCAGCAGAGGTGTGGGGTGGAGCATTTTAACGTCAAGATTTAAAGACGGCATCATTGCAATATTCTTGTAAGACACATCTGTGACCCGGGCAGTGATTGGATATCAAGCTCTTGAATTGGAGAGACAAGAGCAGTAACAAGGTCACAGAGAACTATATAATGCTGCTTAATCACACATTGGGTGGATGGTTTTATTAGTGTTGAATCAAGACTGATACAGTTATTGCAGTGACATCCACTTAACACCTACTGCCTGGTGACTAGAAAATACAAGACTGTTTGTCATTGTGTATATCAGTGTCTTCACTTGCAATTTCAGCAGATGATACCCAACAGAACTCTTGGCATCTGGAATTTTGTGAACTGCAATCATTTCAAGGAGATGACAGTACATACTACAAAAAAATGATGACTGTCAATAGGGAACGAAAATTACTGGTGCAGTGAACCTATCTAAGGAATCTGTATATAGTTTTACTGACTTGTAACAAACACAGCTGTTCATTTCCTTCACAGTACTTCACCATAGCATATTCCATTTATATTGAAAATATCAGTATGTGTTTCAGGTTTTAAGAATTGTTCTCAATCGATTGGTCTGACACATACTTAAACTGCAAGCACAGTCTGTTTTGATCACTTTGAAATTATGATTTCAAACTGCTCTACCAAGCTATCTGAGCATATGGCTTTGGATAACTGTTGCATGTACTGGTTCAAAATCAGTTTGTTTCTAGCTCTCACAGCACTTAAGAGGTTTCATCTCCATTCCGTGGACCATCATAATCTGAAATGCATTGAGAAGCTGTTCCAGGCCCAGACTCCTCTCGGTTCTTTTGCTCTTATTGAGCAGCAGTCAAAGAATTGCCGCAGATGCTTGCTGAATTTAATCTTCGTGCCATTTATGATTTTTCCACGCTCACTGCTGTGCACCCTTCTGCATCCCTATTGAACACATCAAACTGATGTTGATGTTGGCAGTGAGGGGCGGATGGTCAGCAGAGGTCTTGAGGCCCTATTGGCTAGGGCATTGCTTGCACCCTGGTGTACAGATCAGCAACACACCATAGTCAACATACAACTTAGTTTTGCCAGCTTTAGTATAGGGTTTGACATCTTCTGATAACAAAGCGTCCATTCGTATGCCCTAAAATGCTTAACCTTGCTTCCTTGTAGACAAAAGAGATAACACTTTCTTACACAGTACCGATGTTTGTGATCTGCACCAAAGGAGGCAGATGACAGTGTCAGAGGACGTGTAGTTTTTTAGGATTCTGCAGTACTTCGGATATTCAGTGTTTTTTATCCTATTTGCATGCACAGTAAATCAGAAGGCTGCAATCTGTAAGTGCATGACAAGCTGCCCTTCAGCAATGAAAGATCAGCTAAAACCACTGCATAGTGTTTTGTTATGGGAATAATAAAATGGTCATTATCTCTGTAAAATGGAAATCAAACTTTGGATTTAATGGAATTAATAAACGGAATAATTAATGGAATAAATTCCATTCCTTTCAAACAGGATACGTATATTTCTGTTTCACCCTATGTGGTGGCAGTGGCTGTAGGCAAGCAGGTTGCACAGAAAGTGTTTTGATAACCTATTACAGTTTACTTTTCTTATTAGGTTTGAAAGAGATGTGTGTGCTTCAAAGGTAGATGCGATAGGTATTAAATTTTATAGTTGACTGAACCCGTTTTCCTCCAGTACCATCTGATAATGGCCCCTAAATTCGAAAATCCATTTAGTTCAGCACAGTAATGGGTCATGGCCGCCACCTGCTGGTACAAGGGTGTATAACAGCTGAATGCATTTTTGGAATAAAGTGCATTTTGATTTGAATCGTAGGGGATTGTCACCCATAGCTTATCAGGATAGGCTCAGACATGCTGGCTCCCCTGCAATCCTGTATTTGATAAGGAGGTTAGAAAATTAATGGATTAGGAGTTTGTATTCAAAATAGATAACAATTTAGAAAAAAGCTTTTATCCAGACATGAAATGTGAAAATTCCTAGGTTCAAACAAATTTCCAAAAGTTTTTGTCACTTTTTGTATATTTGATACAAGTTTCATTTTGGATTTTTTGGGGATAGTCTTAACTTTTTTCAGACCTCTTGCCACATATTTTGCAGCTGTAGAAACTTTCCAAGTAATATTTCATTTACCACCAAGTCTGGAATTTCTGATTAATTTCCGTTTTACACCCCCTTCCAAACTGGCAGTCTTAGCTATTAATCGTTCTTTTTTGCTACTACAGTTCTCATACTGGTGCAGGATGGGACGAGGACCATAACTCAGTCTTTGTGTTACACAGCTTAACATAACTGTCACACACCTGATGAAGGCACCATAGCCAAAACATTGTGTTTCTTTACCTTTCAGTATGGAATGAACCTTTACATGTTCCTTGGCAGCCTATACGCGCTGATGCGGCTCCTTGCTCAAATTTCTAGTAGCTACAGCATCTGCAGCAGAGAGGAGGAGTGTGGCTGTATAGCACTGATATCCCAGCAGGCTCACAGGAGCCCAGCATGCAGCTTGAATCGAACTCCCTAACCTCAACGACGGCATGTCATTGGCAGTACACTGGTCACAACTTGATAGGGATGCAGCCCAGACCCCGACTTCAATTATCTGGGCGTGTGGCTCAAAGATTACCACCTTTACTTTTACATGTTACTATTCGAGCTTCTTGGTAGGTCCCGTTTCTTTCCGTAGATTAGAATTTGCATGACCCTGTAAACTGACATTAATTCCACATCAGACCCAAGAGGTGGCACAACAGACAGTGCGATGTGTTCCGAGGATGAACATAGGAAATGCCACGTCTCGCCCCCCACTCCACAGATGCACTGAATTATTCACCTGTTTTACTAAGCGATAGTTCAGAACTGAGCTCAGCAGGTGAGCTAGAGGCTTGAATGTATATTTGATACAAGTTTCATTTTGGATTTTTTGGGGATAGTCTTAACTTTTTTCAGACCTCTTGCCACATATTTTGCAGCTGTAGAAACTTCAAAAACGTACTTTGCAAAAATAAATGTGTTCATTACCCTTCTTTTGGGTTCATTCACAGTTCAGAAGCTGCAGGCTGCAGAAGATGCTATTTGTGTCACAGCCATGGTTGAATGCTGGTTTGTTTGAATGAATGAATTTCTTTGGTAGTATGTACTCCGAAAAGCTAACTCCAATTTTGATGTTTTGCAGGTGAAAAGCGTTTTCAACATGACAGCGAACGAGGGAAGGAAGAGATCGATCAGTGCTCTGGTCGCTGTCGGAAATGGGAATGGGGCAGCAGGTGAGTTATGGACCAGCAGCTGAAGGTACAGGGATCTGACAGAGCGGTCAGATCAGATCCAAACACACGGAAAGAGCAGGCATGACCTTGCCCTGCTGAACATGCAGCTAACATGGCTTGACACCTTGACGTGGGTTCATAATGCCATGTCAGTTACTTTCATCTACTTTCGTGAACATCTTCCAGAAATATAACGTTTGGTCAGACTCGCATGGGCAACTGTTGTTTTATACAGACGTCTGCACCGATAGAGGTTGAAAACAGGAGGAGGTCATTGGTAGGCCATGGTCCATTGGTAGTTAGTAGCTCATAAAGGAGAACTGCAGTCCCAGTTTCTCAGACTAGGTTTTAAATCTCAGTAACAAAATGAATTCATTGACAGTATCACAAAATTTGACAAATTTAGAGTTCAACACTAAAACGAAGTGACTCACTAGTCACAGTAAAGACAAATGTAGTGCTATGTGCGAGGGTACAGGTTATCCAGCATACATTTCACCACAGAAATGTTCTTAGGTGATCTGCATGCAGAGTAAACAAGTCAGTAGTATTTGTCAGCAACACCATACTGAAGTCAAGAGCAATGTTTCTATTGCATTAAAAGACGTATTCTTTTTTACACGTTTTACACGTGACCGTGTACGTTTTACCTTCATTGTGGTTTGAAATGCACTCATGAATGACGATTCTTTCTAACCCCAAAATATAAAAATAGCTTTGCAGTGGGGAAAAACATCTCTTAAGAAACGTAAGGGTATCAGCTTCAATAACATGGCTGGGTAGCTTGTCCCATATTTGCACAACCCAACGTGCTTAGAAACTCCAGTTTCCTGTGATTAACTTCGTCGGGTTTCAGGTTTGTATTCTCAAAAGAAATTAAAGTAAAGAAAAATTAAAAGTTAATAAAAGTAAATGACTTAAAAGACAAGAACCTGGTAATGAATTACTTTTATTTGTGGAAGAAATGGTTGGTGATGGAGATCACTTTTTTACCAGAGTTTGAAAATTACATTCCGCCTGGAGTTCTTTGCAATAAAAAACACATAAAACTAATGGAGCAAAGTATTTTTCATTTGAAATATTTCATGTCAAATCTGCTCATACAGATTTGGAAATAACAGTATTTTTATTTGAACAATTTATTTTTGAGGGGTAAAACTTTTATTTTTATATCACTTCAGGCTGTTTGGAGAATTCTATGAAACACTATCAGCAGTTAAAAGAAACTATATACATTAAACACAAAGAACATTGTTCTTTCACCTAACAAAAGTAAAACGTTTAAAAAGAATGTTCTAGAAAATGTTTTTTTTCTTGTAGGTTTTGCTTTGGGGAAGGCAGCCGACCGAGCAACTGCACTTCGAAAAGTAAATATCGATGAATTATCGAGTGAATTTGGAGGTTTGATAATGATTGTCGTCTGAGGAATTTATTTCACGTATAAATGCTTTACCCCTTTTATCTCCCATTCTTAGGCGAAGAACAAAGCTGTCCATTATTTGTACTACATAGAGCGATACAACAACCACACAAGTGAGTGAAACTAATTAAGAGCACAAGACTGTAGTCTTGTTGACATCTTTCACTTTTCATGTCATGTCAAAGCTTGACTGTAATATACCCCCTATCTGTCATATACAAATTCAGGCCAGTCTGTTTCTGCAGAGGTTTCTCAAGGGGAAGAAGGGGCAGAGAAGTATATTTATATTGTGAACCTCCCTGAACTACTCCCTGGGGGCAGCCGGGCCTGTGCAGCAGTGATATAGCTCCCTGCCTCCTTCCTTCACATTCAGCACAGGGGATTTTTTTTGTTTTCCAAATGCCACTATTTTTGTTGTTTTTCTAGAACACCCACTTATTAGCTGTCTTCCTATATCAAATGTACACAAGAGAAAGATGATGCATTCAACCACTTGATGTTTCTGCGGTAACATTTCTGTAACCGGAAAAACCTGGTAGGATTAACATGGTAAATTTAAGTTAAAAAAAATAGAATTTCCACACTTTGATTGACTCTAACTATGGCTTTTTTTCCTGGACAATGTGTAAGGAGATCCCAGTCAGGATTACTACTAAATACAGCCTCTGAAACTATCTCTAGGTGCAGTCCCAGGTCATGGAAACTGAGATTGAAGCAGTTCTTCCTCAGTTCTTGTTTGAGATAATGAGTATTGATTCCATTAGCTCCTCTCCTCAGGGTCACACACATTATACAATGTGTGGAATAAAACTTTTTTTTTCTGAAAACTATAACTAGAGGTTTAGCTAGTACAAAAATTAAGTAGAAAAATTAACTCGGCTTGATTTATGTGTAGTTTTCACTTACCTGACAAGCCCTACAATGCTGCTGCTATTTGTTTTCTGTTTAAGTGACTCTTAAGCCTGAGTAGTTGCAGTCAGCTACACGCTCAATAATTATGTTTTCTCAAAGGGTTATTTTCTAAGTTAATTCATGTTTCGAGAATACCAGTAGTCCCTTTAGAGCCATTTCTTTCTTGCTAAATTATACATTAAGCACTTCTAATGATCAGAATGTGTGGATTTACTGTCTTGGTGCCCCACTGCTTTGTCAAATGCTCTGTTCAGCCCTTGGAGTGAAATAAAGCCAGTTATTCCTTTTTGAACAGTTTTTTTCACATTTGTTAGCAGTCTCTGATAATGCAAGCTCACAAACACAGTTCAGATAGTTGTAAACATGATGTAAACGAAATGTGGCAGGGAAGGGGATGTTGGTTGCAGACCAGATGTCGACCACAGTGTGATTTTTCCTCTGTCTTTGATAGTCTATCATGACATGACTTCCACCTTCAAGAGAACCACCCTCCGGATGAAGAAACAAAGCAGAGGTAAGTCTGGCACTGCCAGGGCAGTACATGCCTCTCTCCTGTTTGTTTTGCCATAGTGCTGAATGGACATTGTTTTCTGTCAGCGAAGGGCCTGTGAGCCTGTGTGTCAACTCGAGACCAGCTTGTGCTTCACTGTTGTGTCACAACACACTTTTCAGCTGCTCAAGTGGTGTGATTTTCTGATTAATCTAATGAATCAATTTAGCTTCAGCCTAAAGGTCTCAGAAAGTGTTTTCATTACAGGTACTGCATCTTTAAATCAACTCCACATCTATAAAAGATATTGAAAAGGTCAAGTTTAATCAGCAAACCAAAACTCTGTGACTCTACTATACACTACTATATCATTGTAATTTAACAGGACCGGATTCGTCTTAGTTAAGTCTCTTATTTTCCCTATGAGTGACACCATTTCTGTTCCTTTGGCTAGTGGCAAATTGAAGATAGCAGGACTTTAAGTATTGAGAATGCTAAAATGAATTATACCTCATCAACATTTTTAATCCAGCAAGAAGCCGTTTGTCTATGAAATCAAGACTGCCATTTAAATATGTCATTTTGGAACTGTAGTATAAAGTAATGTATGAACATCTGTTGCATCACATGTGTTGGGTTTGTAAAACTGTCGTGGGATACTGTCTCTCGTACAGATATTGAAATCATAGGACATTAGTGGTGTTACCAAGGTTGATGTACAAGCTTGGATTATTCCAACTACGATTGTATGGTGTTAGCGGTACTTCACTGGAACGATCATACTGCTTTGAAAATAAAATAAAATAATTTACAGCCACTCATTTATTTTTGTATTTCTATTTACTGTGTTATCCTTATAAATGAGGTGTGTATTTTCGATGTTCAGTAACTCAAACAATTGTTTCATAGCTTGAGAGTGTAAGCATTTGGTAGTTAGTAGCTAATTGATCCCAGGATCTCATCCAGCTGTTTCCTGAAGGGAGTAGGGTATCGGCAACATGACTGGGTAGCTCTTCCTCACTCCCAGAACCTTCTTAGAAAGAGGTGACTACTGGTCTTTGTTTTAAATGCATTTCTACTTTGTTTCCACTTGTGTCCTCCGGTTCGTGATTCGCCCTGCATTCTGAAGAATGCTGTGTTGGCATTATCAGTATTCTTGAGAATTTTGAATAATTGCATCAGATTCCATCGCACTGTTCTCTGTCCAGACTGAAAAGGTTCAGCCATTGGTTAGGGCCCAAAATGTATCTGGTTGCTCGTCTCTGCATATTGATTGAAGAGGAGCAGTATCGTTTATCATAACATTGTGACCAAAAATGAACATGATATTTTAAATGTGTATACCGAGGTAAATAAAAAAAATGTTTTTATTCCATTGCGTTTACGCTAGCAGCACAGACTTTTTCTCACAAAGGATGATCAGTTTTCGGTTTAAGAAACACAAAGGCCATTTCATAGTGCAAAGGAAAGACATGTTTCCATACCCAGTACAGCGGACCTGTTTGCTATTCAGTAAGAAAATAGCTGAGTGCCTGACAGCATCCGACAGGGGCAAGTGCTTGTCTGGAAGGCAGGACTATCCAAATTCATTAGCACATCACAACCCTGTAAGAGTTCCTGTGAGAGTCCGTGTATCTGGAAAAGTCCTAAATCAGCAGCCCATCCATTTAGCTTCCATTATCGAGACCCAAGAACAGTATTTACATTGATAAATCTCAGGAGCAGGGAAACAGACTAGGAATTAAGCAGCATTAAGGGAAAGCATCAGAAGAACTAAGAGGGAGGGTGGGTTTCAATTGAACAAGGTGTTTGGAAAGCTCAGGGTGCAGGAAATCAAAAGTACGTTTTTGCTACATTCTGGGGCTCAAGGTCCTTAAAGGGAACAGTATTTGTCAATGCTGAGCAATCCAGCCACATAAATCCCCACAGCTGTCAAAGGAGAGAACATGTCCACATGGTTGAGTTGTAAGCTGAAAACATTCAGGTTGATGAAAACAGGCAGCACCAGCAGCTTCCAGCAGTATTTCACTCACTTAATGGCAGAACAATGCCAGCCATTCTTGAAATTAATGAACAAAGTGCTCCATCCATCTTTCAGCCCCAGTGGACAGTGCTGTCATCAAGATGCTCCTGTTGAAAGAATAAAAATTCTTCTGTATCTTAAAATAGGAAGGTGTTACAAGACCACGCTGATTCTTATTTGCTCAGTTATTGTGTGGAGGGAGCCCTTCCTGCTGATTTCTCAGTCTCCTGTAGTTTGTGAATTATGTTGTTGAAATGAGAACTGCATCCTGTACATAAAAACACATGCTATGGAGTATAATCCTTACAGAGCTATCCATAAAACAAATGGCATGCATAAGGACATTTTTAGTTCATTTGTCCTCTCTTAAATAACTAAGTTGTCAGAGGTCTTGTGATTCTTATCGACTCAAAAGGAAGTTCATGTGGCAGGGTACTTTCAGACATGTCTGCACTCGAAGCTCCACTTTAAATTTCCTTGGTGTACAACATAAAATATTTCAGTTTTAAAAGCATGCCTGATATAAAAAAAATATATTTTAATGCAATAAGAGCCTCAATTCCTTGTCCTTTCAAGTTGGTCTGCACACTAAAGCAAATCATACTCAAAAATGTCCTTTTGTTGAAACACATGATGGACAATATCTTGAAAGAAGCACGTCGTTGATGACTAGTATGCCTTCTTGCTAATTAGTAAGAAAACATGTTTTGTTGAAGTGTCTAAAAAAGCACTAATTTTCACATTGGAATCAGTGCTAAAAAAATCTAAATCTACTGCAGTATTTTTGTCTTTACCCCTATCAATATTATCACTTAACAAAAAAACTACACGTAGTTATCTGTAGTATGTAATTTCCCTGACAGGGGTCAGGATTCGATTGCATGGAATAGGCAGAGCAGACACCTTGCCCCCTGTTATGTCCTCTTCTGGCTGGGCTGATCCTTTTCTTACATAAACACTGGCGGTTCATTTAGGCAGACAATGAGAAACACCCAGAAAGCTTCTTACAAGCCCTCCTTCAGAAATGAGCTCAGGTTAAAATCTGTTCTGAGTTTGTGTTTCTCTTCTCTTCGGATTTCTGATGCTTAGCTTAATATCCACACTTGACAATATTAATATCTTCACAGAACCCACCTTCCTGTCCTTTCTGATCAGGCCAGGCTGTTAATAATTTAATTACAATGTATTTTTGGCGATAGTAGTATTTGCTTAGTGCCAGTGCCTCTTTTTTAGTATTCTTGTACTTGGCAGCAAGCAAAACTAGAAATCCATGGGATAAATATGGAAATCCTCATTACTAGTGCTCTGTAGTAGTGGAAAGGTGTTATATAAAATATTCTGAAACACCACTCTGCTGTTACCATTGTTGCTACTGAAGGCTTCCATGACTAAAAGCGGTTTGCCTGCGTTTGGGAGGTCTGTAAATGAACCATTTCTCAGCATTCTGCCTATGTGCTTTGTTAACTCTTTATGCTTATAAATGTCTTCAGACAGGCAGCTGTTCTTCATG